AAAAAAAAAAAAAAAAAAACACCCAAATCTCAGTGGAGATGGTTGTCAGCATAGTAAGTTTTAACTACAGAAAGAGTTGTACTACACAACATAGGAGGCAGCTAACATCCAAGCATAAGCCTGGTGGTTTGTTCTTCTAAAACCCTTGACCCAAGCTGGGATGGGGGTAGTGCATGGACAGCTAGGACTACACACACATACAGAGACACACACCGTCTTAGGGGGGAAAAATCTTGACACAGACTTGGAATATGTGAACAAGTATGTAAGGCTAATCTGGAATAAATGAGCTGCAATAACACCAGAAACCGAAAGATTAATAATAACAAGCATGAGCTTGTTCTGATGATGGTTCAACAATGTTACCCTGAGGGATATTTGAAAAAGACCATTAGAAAACAAATCTAGAAACCTAGAAACCTTCACTGAGAAAACTCAAAATATGTACCTTGGATTATCAAACGACTTTTTTCATCTCCTCCTTTTAGTTTTTAAATGCTAGAAAATAAACCCAGGGCCCAGTAAATATTCTGCCACTGCCTAAGCCTCAGCCTCAAAACCCTTAGAACACCTTTTTTTTCTTTTGTGGGAACACATCCATGGCTTATCTTGATTTTTAAAAGTGGCTGAGGTGTACCTAGGCAGCAAACCACACTGTGCAAGATGTGGGATCAAGCTCCACACCAGAAAAAAGGAGAAAGCAAACATCATGAGCTAAACGCAGCACTGTGTAAATAATGAATCACTAATAAAGTTTATATTCTTAGGGCCTCTCTATTTCCTACTACAGAATTCATTCAAATATAAGCATATTAACCCCCTACTCATGATACTGTTGCTAGTGAGATAGACAGGAAATAGAAGGTAAATGAAATTGACTGAGCAATACTGAGCAATTGAATGACCAACAATCAAATTTATAAGCCCTCTCTAGTATCCCAGTAACATATCTAATGATCTATTAAAGGAATGTAGACAAAAGCTACCTAACTCTGACACTGACCACTGTCCATCATTATGGCTAAAGAAGTCAGTCCTGCATATGCCTTTGAAATGACTACTCACCAGAGAAAAGAGCTCAGACAAGGACATCTCATTACCTACTGGTGTTAGCAATGTAAGGAAAGCTGTTCTTAAAACGTTCTGATCGATCACGAAGGATCATCAGTATTTAAACTACTGAAGACCCTTCTTCTTAGAAATATTGACAAAAGATTACAAAATTCATGTGGGATAGAAAAAGGCCCAAGTAGGCTACACAGCCATACAATCCAACAAGGCACAAATCACAAATCCCCACCCTTCACCCGGCACACCACACAGTGAGCTACTGTTCTTACTGTGGTAACTTTATTATAACTAGAAACACAGATTCAGCCAAGAAGGCCAGCTGACAACTTTAATCATTAAATAATTTAAAGTAAAAAAAAAAAAGAAAGGATTAAAGGAGAAGCTTTTATTCATCAACACAGAGCCTAAAACATTGTTTTTATATTGCAAGGCAGAGTAAAGCTACAAAAAAGTATAACAGAATTAGAGTAAGAACTGTGGCTCTAGATAAAGATTTCAATCAACAAGTCAGACTCTGAAACAGGCACTGAGCTGTGAAGACCTAAACCTAAACAAGTATTACCCCTGTTCCCATCCCCACCCAGTTATCCCCCAAAGTAGTAAAAAGAAAATGGTCACAAGCTCACAATAGTTTGGTTCTCACCAATGTTTACAAAGAAAAACAAAATAAACCAATACTTGAAGAAATGCCAAGATAAGCACTCAGTAGGGAGAGAATCTCTGCTTCTCGCCTTTCAGTTTGTTAGTTACACATGGCACAGTAGAGGTGGTGGTGGTGGTAGCTGAAGCCCCGGTACCCTTAGCAGCAGACACAACATTTAGAGCCAGGAGAGGGATGGGTTTCATGCCAAGCAGACTGGAGACACAAGGGGCGGTCGGAAGAGGGTTGGGGAGGCTGGAGGGTGCGTCGGAAGTCCCCGCTGTGGCGAGCGAGGGGGTGGTGGTGGAGGAGGAAGAAGAAGAAGAAGGGGTGGAGGGTTGAGAGAGGTTGATGCTGAGGTGATCAGGGATCGTGACGGAGGCTGCCTGGGAGGAGGGTTTAGCGTTTTCTAAACTGTAACAGAGGAAAAAAGGAACAAAAAAAAAAGGGTGGGTGGAAGGGAAGACCACAATAGGGAAAAAGTACAGGACAAAATCCGCTTCAGTTATATCAGTAAGTGCCTTTGGCTGCCAATTAGGAAGATCTAATATCAACTTACAACAAACTTGTATAGCTTGTGCCCCACCCTCTAAAATATTTATATTATCACTTCCCCCTGCCACACACAATGCTATTTTTAAAACTTCTTTTATAAAGACACAGCAGACAAGAATGGGAAAAGGAATCATAGAACTCACACTTCCAACTATCTGATAGATTGACACAGCCCAAAAACCAGAGTAAAGTGGCACAGCCATGGTGGCACAGCTACTACAAAAGCTGAGGCACACAGTCAGAGTCCACACCAGCCTGGGATATACAACAGGGAGTAGTTTGAGGGCAACTTTAAAACCCTCTTTTTTTTTAAAAAAAAAAAAAAAAAGAGGCAGAGGCAGGTGGATTTCTGAGTTCGAGGCCAGCCAGAACTACACAGAGAAACCCTGTCTCGAAAAACAAAAAAGACAGAGATGGGTGTCAATTGCCTAACATATAAAAAAGCTCTAAGTTTAGCCCCCCAAAAGTGTTTAAAAACAAACAACAAAAAAAGATTTTAGTTTGAAAGAGAAAACCTTGTAAACAAAGAAAATCATTTCATAAACCAAATTATCAGTTTTCAGAGTCAAAATTACATGTTACACTATAATAATTTTCTTTAAAAAAATTTTTTTAAGGGCAGGGTTTGTGTAGCCCAGGTTAGCTTAGAACTGTGTAGCCTCTTGCCTCAATCTCCTCAGTGCGACTAGTGACACTATGCATGCCTAACACAATTATTTCTGTAGCTAATATTTATCTATTTACATCTGCATGGCAAATGAACCAAAATGAAGTCCAAAGTAGGTCACTGAATAGACTACAAAGAATATAGCATTTTCCAAGAAAAATGCTAAAAATAAGTATAGATAAGATCTAGGGAAGCTTTTCTGGTGAAAAGTAGGCCCTTTAATTCAGTTAAAATAAACTCTAGACTTTAGAGTTGAAAATAATAAAGTACTACCAACTTTTGTGTTTTTTGCTTTTTAGCAAAAATGTATTTCTATTCCTAAAACAGGCCCCATATAGTCCTTATCTAAGCCAGAGTCACAGACACTTGCTGAGATCAGACAACCTGGCCCACAAGCCTACTTCCAATGGGCAGGAAATTTCCTGTATTTAACTTGTTCAGAGCCAGTTCAGTCCATTAAGGAATTGTCACAGCAATGAACCACAAAGACACAGAGCCCTGTAAGGAAAGCTGAGGAGTACGGAAATGCTGTGGAGCCAATATTGAAAATAATAAAACCAGTTTTTTTTCTCATCCAAAGTGGGCCAAGTAGAGAAGATAAAAAGCAGGTCTGTGCATCTTCTGGCACTGGTGATCAGGCTTTAAACAGTTCTGATCCAAATCCAATGTTTGCATAGTTTCACTCAACTGTTTAATTAAAGCAATTCTGCAGTTGCTTCAAGTAATGAAGTTCTGCCTCCTTACAATGTAGACACTAACTTATTATAACACCAAAGTCAAATTTAAAATTATAATTTGAGCTATCTCATTTAAGGTAAGCTTACCAAAAGCAGAAGGTAACAATTTCTAGTTTTGGTTTTTTTTTTTTTTGGTTTTTTTTTTTGTTTTTCAAGACAGGGTTTCTCTGTGTAGCCTTGGTTGTCTTATAACTCACTCTAGACTAGACTAGCCTGACCTCAAACTATATAGAAGTCCATCTATCCTGCCTCCTATATGACGGGGATCAAAGACATGTGCCACCACTGGGCTGCCATTCTTTCCATATGAATTACAGCATTAGCACAAGGCACAGAAAGACAAAGCAATGGCCAAGACTACCACTGGCAAATTGGCAATGTTTTCAACTAAGGATAATAAGAGAGTCTGGTATAAAGTATAAATACATAGCACATGTATAACATGAATACAGACTTGATATCTCTAAAACCTTTTCTTAGATTCAGGAACTCTTAATTTTCATGTGGAAGAGAATAAGTACAAGAAAGATAATGATGTCTTTCCATATAAGATGTAACTTAAGTGCATTTGAAAATTTGACTGAAGTAGCACTAAGGACCAAACACCCAGTAGGATGCACATTTGACTATACACAATTGTCCTACAACTCAGAGTGTAGCAACAGAACCTGCATATAGGGAAATAAAACCTGAGGAACTAATTTATAGATGTATGAGAACAGGGTGAGCAATGGGATTAAAAAAAAAAATAATCATGTATCTGGAGCACTCCTAAGCCTGTGCTTCATTTGTTCACAAACAATAGAACACAATTCTCATTTGATAACATCTATTTCCAAGAAGCTATTTAGATATCTCATTATCCTTAAAAATTCAAGGTGCTTTGAACTCCAAAATCAAAAATAAAATGATCTGTCTACATGATGTGCAAAAACAACCAAAACCCAAGTGTGTTTCAGTGATCTTGTTCTTACTAGAGCACTGTCCTATTCAGCACCGGTATATACTACCACCTTTTTCACTGCCACAAAACAATCCCATGAAAACTTAGTCCAATCTGCTTGTTTTTCTCTGCTACATTAAGGACAGAATCTTAAGGGGGGAAAAAAACCCACTTGTCATATGGCAACTCCCTCCCTATTATGTTGGCACAGTAAAGCAGAAAGATTGGTCAAACTTACCTGACATTGATTAGATACTGAGCCAGGCTAATGCTGGCAGCAGATCCAGTGATGGTAACCTGACGATCAGTAGATCCTTCCACTGGGTTTGCGATTTTGATCTGCGCCCCAGACATCTGACGGATCTCATTGATTTTGGCGCCCTGACGCCCGATTATGCAGCCAATCAACTTGAGAAACAAACAACAAAACAAAAATAAAGAGTGGCACAGCTACACACACAATACCCTTTACCAGTTTCTACAATTTGTACCTAAATTTGCACTCCACAATCTTTCCGGTATACTGCTATCAAAACCTTGAATTTTTTTTCTTTTCTTTCCTTTTTTTTTTTTTGTTTTGTTTTGGTTATTCGAGATAGGGTTTCTCTGTATAGCCCTGGCTGTCCTGGAACTCACTCTGTAGACCAGGCTGGCCTTGAACTCAGAAATCCGCCTGTCTCTGCCTCCCAAGTGCTGGGATTAAAGGCGTGCGCCACCACCACCCAGCAAAACCTTGAATTTTAAAACCTTAAGGTCCTACTTCAATTCCTGAATTATTCATGTGATTAACTAGAAATCAAGACAAACTCCAGTTTCTCATCCCAAGCATTAGCTTTTGTTTCTATTCCCATAGTCTAGCCTCCACTCCAATGACAAATTAACCAGAATAATACTGAAACCTAGTGAATCAGCTACAAACACATCAACAGTGCCTTTGCTGTTGGGCTGTCATAAATGTGTGAAATCATCCTTCCACAATCACTTTATGATTCTGGTAAGAATTTCAGATTTGTTTTTGCATTTGGGATTAATTTGCATTATGTAGTACCAACGAGTAATAATTCCTTAACATGTTAATTGTGGCTTAACTGAGACACTGACTTTATTATAATTTTATTCTCAAACCTAAACAGCCATACTTGTAGAAAGGGCAGATATACTATCACTTTAGAATCACTTCTCCAAAAGCAAAGTTAAATTCTGATGTTCTTTTGTGGGAAACAAGGTCTCACTACATATTTCAGGATGACTTGAACTCAAAGAGTGCTAAGATTAAAGGCATACGCTACCACCCCAGTTCCAGGTGCTTTAAGGGAAAACTAAGGGAGCTGGAGAGATGGCTCAGTGGTTAAGAGCACTGACTGCTCTTCTAGAGGTCTTGAGTTCAATTCCCAGCACCCACATGGTGGCTCACAACTATCTGTAATGGGATCCAATGCACTCTTCTGGTTTGTGTCTGAAAATAGCTACAGTGTACTCACATAAAATAAATCTTAAAAAAAAAAAAAGAAAAATGTAAGAATTTTAACAGGACTAGAAGAGGTTCTTCTGCCTTTGAAAACTGTTAATACAGTTAATTCTATCAATTCTCTCTAGTAAGGTTTCCTTCAGACTTCTAACATAGTTTAATTACACTTACATCATTTGGAATGGTGAGTTCATGAGAAGTAGTTTGAGCAGATGCATCCAAACCTGCTAAAAGACAGAAAAGAGCAAGAAAATTTAATGCATAGCATTCAGAATCAGTGATCTGCAAATTAAACTAACAGAAGAAAATAAAATGGAAACCCAGCATTGGCTGTTGGGGTTCATCACTAACTCTGAAGCCTCCAAGGAGGAAAGATGGGAGGGGTATCAAAAGTAATGCTGGAAAGATTCTTCTGCACAATCAGAATAGCTGATATCATGCCATTTCCTGCAAAGCCCAGACTAATATGTACGGAGATAAAAGGGGCAAGAGAGTGTAATATTTTTAAACAGGAGCAAAATCTAAACATCAAATGTGTCTGTACAACTATCCCTTTTCTGATTAAGATTACTGTTTTGTCCTGATTTTATTTTGTCCAATGCTCACTAAAATCAGTGCCAACTATACTCTCGTTACCAGATATCATGGACTCTTGGCACATAGAATTCTTTCATTAAACCTTTACCAGATTAACACCCTCCACCTCTATCCTCCCAAACTAGACTTAAAAGACCAAATAGATAAAATGGCAATCTGTTTGAGGGGAATTTATTTCTCCAGATTTATTCTCTCTTTTGCTCTAATTATTCTGGCTTTTGTTTTGTTTTCCAAAGAAAAAAAGAAAGAAAAGGAAAAAAAAAAACAAAACCAATCCCATCACAAACCCCTATCATTCATAAGAACACCAGGACTAGAACTAAACCTTTCCAGCTGGCTAACCCTTAATCATTCTTTCTAGTACTGCTCTCAACTACATTTTTAGAAGGTGGTTGGCTAGATCCATCAAAGGACCCTAAGGGGCACCAGGCCCCACCCCTTTGCTCTCTCAGCTCCTCTCTGCCATGTGGATGTTGCTGGTATGGTTTATGGGCAGTGAAACAAGACTCCCACCAGTTTATTAATATAACAGTAGAATACTACAGATTTTTTTTTTAATCATTACCCCAATAGCCTTTCACCTCTGGAGAGCTGGATTCAATGCCTGTTAAGATACAAGTGAAAATGAGTTTGGTGGTCTCATTCTAACCCTATCGGACAAGTTATTCCTTATATATAAAATTTAAAAAAAGCCCCAAAACAAAACAAAACAAACAAAAAATACACTACACAATTTGGAACAAATGGATTGTCTCTACCAAAGTCTTGTGACTACCTGGTGGAGAAAAAGGGGATGCTGATCAGGTCAAGGTGGCCACTATCAGGATGGGTTACAAGAAATATCAGCCTACCCTTTTTCTGACAAGCATCCCCAGACCTCACCCCAAACCTTCCAGGGATTTTTACTTTTATAATTAACTCATCCCAAATGAAAATAATGTTAACAAACACTTTACCTCCTTTACTCATAGTAGGTCAAGTTTAAACCAGCAGATGCTGGATGATAATGAATTTTGTTTTAAACAGTTGTCAAGCTGAGACCTTGGGACTGGCCTCTATCTTGTACTACACCTTACAGAAATAACACTGAGTTATCCATACCACTGAATCCGGTGTTGCCATGGGTCATGGGAAAATGAGACTGTTGCATTGCCAACTGGTGCAGCTTGGTCAACTGCATGAAGGAAACAGGAGAGATCAGCATTAGAAGGGTAACCTAGTCAGGACTCAAGCATACTCAGATGTGAAAATGCACATGGATCCTGATTCCCGAAGTTTGAGTCTACTATTCCAAGTATAACATAGGATAAGAATGGGGCTTACAGTACAATCCAGAGGACAGGCAGAATATGACAGGTAAAAGTTAGAAATAGAAAGGATGTCAGTATACAAGAGATGAATGCATTTGGGGTATGTGAAAAAGAAAGCAGTAAACCAGCCCAACAACTATCCCCTGTGGACTGTTTAATGGAGGTATATGCAGCCATTGCCAACGGTTGCCCCAGGGACAAGCACAGACAGGCTAGATAAACAAACTGTGCAGTGGTGTTAGGGAAGACACACCATGCAGGGTTCTACCAGTACTGGGAAAAGGGAAGGAGTTGAGGGGGGCAGGGAGACTGCAAGGAGGAGAGAAGCTTAACAAGAAACCAAACTGGGCTTAGTCCCCAACGAATATTTTCCAACTATCTTATCTATAATACACATAGGTAACTGTCCTACCTGGTGATAAAATAAGCCCTTTCCCAGTCTACTTCACACCTCTCCTAGGGGCTTCCACTAACCAAGAACCAAACCCAACTTTCAAAGTCTAAGGCTTAGCACCTGAAAGGATTAGTAAGGATGAAAGAAGTGTGTATGTGTGTGTGTGTGTGTATTGCGGGGGTGGGGTGGGGGAAATGGACAAAAATCCAAATAGTAGTACTTTAAAGTAAGAAATTCTTAGTAAAAACTTCATTGAAATCCAACAATCAGTTTTCTAGCCTTCCTTATATCAATAAATCCTCGGCACCTAAAGGCAAGTCCATCCTCCCACTTACCCAAACACTTACTTAAGGGAAGCACACTTCACTGACAGTTTGAATTGTCCCAAGATATTAATAACAAACCATGGATAATTTCTAGGGGTTTTACATTCAAAGGCAAACAAGTTGATACTGTGTGGTTCACCTTTTAAGCCATAACAACACCACAAATGTTCAAGACCCAACTTACTCCTGCCTAAGAAGAAAGGATTCAGACAATTTTGGATGGAGAGGGAGTTTTTCAAAACAAGAAATGAAATCAAAACTTACATCTGGCTGTGGAATGGCATACTGTCCTTGAATGGTATAGGCCTACAAAAGGAGGAAAACAGTTCCTATTAAACACCAATCATGGACAGCAACCCAATGTGGGGTGGGGGGTGGGGGGAAGAAGACAAGTTTTCAACTAGCCAAGAAGCCAGAGTTGAACTAGAGAAAGGGAGGCCAGGGACTGAGGCTGAAGATGAAATCTCACAATGGTCAGACCTGAGCTTCTTTGTGCTCTAAATATAGTATTAACTTTATTCCAGGGATTCTCTAAGAATGATATACAAATTTTCCTTAAGGCAAAATATACATACTTGCTTTTTAAAAAGAAATGTGAAAAATGAAAGTAAAGCAATGCCTTGACTGACCAATCCCCCCACCCTGTGTATTCAATACAAGATAATAATCATGCTAATATAAATTATTTACAGCTACACAAACCTGCTTGGCATGTATTCTAACACTGCCTATGAACTAAAAAGCTAAAAGCTAGCTAGGTCTCAAACACTAGGGACCTGACCACAGAAGCATTGGGTGGGGGGATCAATTTCCTAAATCCTGTCTTTGCCCACCCACCTGCATCACAGGTACTTGCAGCTCCCACTATGCCCTCCTCCCCACACCAGATTCTCCCAAAAGGGGAGCTGGTCTTTTGGGCAACAGGGGGGAGTTTAGGGGGAGGGGACGGGAGGAGGAAAGGAATAAAAGAAGGGACGGGGAGGAAGGTGTAGCTGGTTACTTAACGCAATGTGAAGTTTCTCACATCACAGTGCACAGTGGCCATTATTACCCCCAAAAGCACACCCAGGTTGGGGTGGGAAGGTGAAAATGGGATGGGGGGAATGGGAGAGGGAAAAGAGGGATTGAACAACAACAAAAAAAAAAGTTTAAAAAAAAAAAAGTTGGTGTTACCATCTGGTGGGCTACGCGGCCTGTGTGAAATGAGGTGGGGAGGTCAGTCCAGGTCCCCGTGGACAGGTGGTGTCCACAGCACAAAAATCACCAGCGCCACTCGCCCCCCGTGTGTTGGCAGTCTCGGCTGAGGCGGAAGGATTGAGTGAGCCTTGGAGACTGAACATCCCCTCTCACCTCTAGAGGTGGTCCCTCCAGGTCAGGGTTGAGGCACATGGACGGGGTGGTGTGGGGAAAGCTCGCACTGTCGCTGCCTGTGCTGTACCTGTCCTGTGGATAAATAGAGGATTTCAGTCTCCAGGGCTGTCAATCCGGCACCTTGTCACCAGCATGAAATTCACACCAAAAAAAGTTGTTTATTTTTTTTTCTTGTTTCCTTTAAAAAGGAGCTCACAACACAGATTTGAAACGAGCTGTAATCAGTGAATTTAAAAAAAAAAAGTTACCTAGTGGCAGATGACACTGCACAATTGGGTTATTTTCAGTAAAAGTGAGGGGTAATGTAAGAGAGCTGATGCCAGGTCTTGGTCACTGTAGGATTAACTTAAATCCCTACAGAGCCCACTTTGCAACAAAAGACACAGGTCCATCTCTGGACACTGTATGAACTGGTCCATTTATAAAAAGGCCCATGGGAGTGACCCAAAACAGGGCAACTGATAGAAGAAGCTGTAAGCTTTTAGAGGGCAGTTAACTGAATAAAGGGAGGGAGGGTGGGAAGCAAAGAGGTACAAAGGGAGAGGAGTGAGGGGGATGAAGATAAGGAAGAAGGACAGACTGTCGTGCAGAGGACTGGTGACACAGCAGTGGAGAACCTAGAGTTCCATGGGAAAAGGGATGACTCCTGAGGCTAACCCTCCTGTCTATAAGGACTGAGCTGCTGCTTATCTTGCCCCAATACTCATATTGACAGCCCTGACAAACTTGTTAAAACAAAGCTAATGCTTTAAACAAAGTTGTAACACATCTCAATATAACACTGCAATATGACTACTTGTGAAAGCTCTCAGCAAGACATAAACTTGTTCACTTTCATTGTATTTCAAAAAATGTGGAATCAACTCCAAGTTGATGCTTTCCCCTCTCCAATGGTTTTCAGACCAAATACAAATAAATTTAACTAGTTAAGCATAGATGTTTTTAAATAGGGTAGCCCCAAGTGGCAAAGGCCATTATTTTAACCTGAATACAGTACTTTAAATACAGTACTTTAAAAACTGGTTTACCTATTACTTAAGAAAACACTAACCATCAAAATACACTAATATCATGACATTTATCAATCTTCTTCTCATACAACTCTAACTTTAGAATAAACTGTCCAATGAGACAGCGAGAGAATGCTCTGGTGTTCTCACACTACAGCCCAATATACTCTCCCCATCCTATGCTCCTCTTATTCCAGCTGATTTCAATTATACCATGGAGAGTCAAAAACCAGTGTTTATCAGGTTAAGACTCTGGGGAACAACAAACTGGAGTTTGGGGGTAAAAGGGTAGGAGTAGGGGAGGTGAGGTGAAGGGGAGGGAAAATTTGTAGGACACTCAAGTTCAGGACCTGATCCCACACCTCCATGCCGTTTGAGACCACCATCCAGAACTTCAGAGGCCCAACTCCTTTGTTATCATTACTTAGACCTCCATCATTCCACACGTATAAGCATGGATGGGATGGTTGATATAAGGAGAGCAGTAATGACACTGGAGGAATTTAACTCTAACTCAAACCACCTTTAAACCAGCAACCAATTTCTCTCCTGAGTGTCTACAAAACTTCCATTGCTTGCTAAAAATAAGGTCGTGGCATTCAAAACTTTCTTCAGAACAAAACCAAAAGCAAATCAAACTATGGCCAAAAGTACAAGTTTTCAGCAATCATGCAAAGTAGCTTGGTGTGCTGCTGGTAAAGCTGACATTTAAAATATAATCTTCATTCATTCTAGCCCACCAGTAAGATTTTCTTACCTGACCACCTGCAAAGATGACTGGAGAACTGGAGGGCTTGGGCCGGTACGGGATGGTCACGCCCTTCGGGGGGGACTGGGAGAGAGTCAGAGGGGAAAAAAACAAAAAGAGATAAGGTTTCAAAGCTGCTTCAGCTGTGTGGCTATAGCACACACAGGTCAGTTAAATAAAAACTATTTTCCAGTCCCTTACTTATCAAGTTGAATATGGTTAGTTATTTGTCTTTAAAAAGCAACAAGAACGTTTATGGATGATGTGGCTCATATGAATTCTAACCAAAGAGGCTGTGAAATAATTTTAACCATTTCCACATTTATAAATAAATTTAATTCACACACACAAAAAACTGTGTAGATATATACTTTAAGTGGTCATTTTTAGGACCTCACATCTTTGTTAATTAAGACATAAAGGCAAAGTTGGATATGAAAGTCCCAAATGTAATTATGTTTATGGTTCAAAGACAAAAAAATCTTTTTTGTTTATGATTCATATGGGGCCAACTCCTAATTTCCATTCATTTTTGCTACAGAATATATAGTAGGACTTCTGAATTCATTCAGAAATACCATCATTGATACTTTTCCTATGTTATAACTATTGTTTTGAATATATCCTGCTTCAAAGTGAAAAATAGAATGTATCAATGTCAAGAAATTCAAAAGGTGAGTTAGCATTCCAAAAATCACAAGTCCTTACAGTCTATCTTCCCCTACCCACATTACTAGAACATTCTGAACTACAAGACAACTGCTTTTTAACAGATCCTATTTTTACTCACAGACTAACATATATCAAAACTGGGAGAAGGAATGTATGAACTCAGCGAACCACTTTACCCACCTCTACTGATAAGCCTATTAACAGCTTCAACTAATTCTAGTCTTACTAAATATAGATCAGTTTCCCTTTCCCCAGAATCACCCCTCACCCCACCTCTAGCATGAGCCTGAGGGCTTACCTCCAACATGACCACACAGATCTGTTTGACACACTCAATGATGGATTGCGGAATGCCAGCAATAGTGATTGCCCGCTCAGTTGAGTTGGGGAGCATATCCCCTGCCACCTGGACCTGAGCCCCTGTACTCTTTAGGGTAAAAGGTAGGAAAAAAAAAAAATCAGAAAAATTGTTCAATTCCTTCCAACACCGGCTTTAGAATATGAAGTTCAATAGATTGTTATTACTACCCTTTCTTTCTCATGTTCCCATACTTCCTTAGTCCAGGTACTACTGCTTATTCAAGTTAAAAATAAATTACCTCTGAGAGATAAGAATAAATCTGAGGAACAGTCTACATTTAACCTGGACCCAGAAAAAAAGTCCCTTCTATACAATTTACTCTTACTCAGTAATGAAAGCTTTGTGGGTCAAATAAAATCCTCTAAACATCACCCTTCCATTCTCTTATTGAGCAAATATTTTCCTCAATTCCATTCTGTATGTCAGGTACCATTCCAAGTACTCATCAAAAGAAAATCTTAAACTGGTTCACATTTATAATCTCATCACTGAAAAGGTGAAAGTGGAAAACCATATAACATGTTTGTAACTAGCCTGGGATACAGTGAGAGACTATCTCAATAAACTTAACTAAAACCACCTCCCCTGTACCCACAAACACATATTCCTGCACCAAAACAATCCTGTACAAAGACTTCAAAATATTCCAACTAGTTTTGAAACTATTTAGTAACCTTTCATTTAGACATGAAAATTTGATAAAGGGAAAAAGAGACTGTCTTTAAAAAAAAAAAAAAAAAAAAAGCAAAGCTAGGGAAATGCCAGCAAGATAGTCTGTTGACAACCCTAACTTAAATTTAATCCCTGGAGGACTCGCATTGTAGAAAGAGAACCAAGACCTGCAAGTTGTCCTGACCCAAGCAAGCGAATGTGCACACACACATACACACTAGCATACACACAAAATGTAATTTAAAAAATTGTTTCAGGCAGGCATGTTTTACCTTCCTTAAATTACCAGCACTTGAGACACGGAGGCAGGAGGATCTCTGCATTCACAACCAGTTTGGTCTACAAAAATGAGTTCTAGACAGCCAGGGCTATACAGTGAGTCCTACTCTGAATTTTTTAATTATTATTTTAAGGGGCTGGAAAAATGGTTAGGACCATTTGTTGCTATTGCTGGGGACCTGGGTTTAGTTCCCACTACCAACATGGAACTCACAATCATCTATAAGTCCATTCCAGGAGATCCATTTCTTTTCTGAATTCCACTGATAACTGGCACATATATGGTATATACATACACACATATATACAGGCAGACTAAAAGCTCAAACATAAATCTATTAAATTCTTTTTGGCTTAGAGATGGCTCTGGATTTACAGTATATATTGTTCTTGTAAAAAACCTGAGTTCAATTCCTTTGATTTTTTTTGGGGGGGGGGGAAGGGGGGGGTTGGAGACAGGGTTTTCTCTATATAGCCCTGGCTGTCCTGGAACTCACTCTGTAGACCTCAGAAATCCAGAAATCCACCTGCCTCTGTCTCCCATGTGCTGGGATTAAAGGCATGTGCCACCAATGCCCAGCCTGAGTTCAATTCCTAGCACCCATAAATGTCCATTCACAACACATGAAAACTCCAGCCCCCGCCGGGCGGTGGTGGCGCACGCCTTTAATCCCAGCACTTGGGAGGCAGAGGCAGGTGGATTTCTGAGTTCGAGGCCAGCCTGGTCTACAGAGTGAGTTCCAGGACAGCCAGGGGCTACACAGAGAAACCCTGTCTCGAAAAACAAAAAAAAAAAAAAACAAAAAAAAAAAAAAAAAAGAAAACTCCAGCCCCAGGGGATCCAAAAACCTAACACACATGCAATAGTCAGAGGCAATCATATACACACAATTCAAAACAAATCTACAAACAAACAAACAAACACAAACAAAAGACTTTAGTGGTTCGGTAGGTAAAAATGCTTGAAACCCAATCTACCCACCAGAGTTAGATGCCAGTAAACCTATAGCAACATGTGCTTATATATATGTACGGGGGGGGGGGGGGGGGGGGGGCAGGGGGAGGGCATAAGGAAGATGGTTCAGGCTATAAAATGCTTGCAGTACAAGAACCAAGAACACTCATAAAAAGCTGGAGAGAAGGTTTGCATTTGTGATCCTAAGACTTGAAGACAGACAGGAGAATTCCTGGAAGGCGCGTGCATACACACACACCAAACAAACAAACAAACAAACAAACAAAACTAAAAAAAGAATATATGTGGGAAGGGGGGAACCATTGACAACCATTTTTAATCCCAGAACTCAAAAGGCAGAGCCAGACATCTCTGAATTCCAGGCTGAACAGCAAGGCCTTGTCTCAAAAAAGATTAGGAGGGGGCTGGAGAGATGGCTCAGCAGTTAAGAGCACTGACTGCTCCTCCAAAGGTTCAATTCCCAGCAACCACATGGTGGCTCACAACCATCTGTAATGGGATCTGATGCCCTCTGTTGGTGTGTTTGAGGAGAACTACAGTGTATTCATCAATACATTAAATAATAATAAAAAAAAATGACTAGCAAGTATATGCCATAAAAACTGAGAGGATTGTATTAACATATGAAATTCCACACAACACTCATATTCTGTCATTACTGAGCCAGGCAAAGGCTGTGTATAGACTTAGGTACTTGGGAAACTAAGGTAAGATCAGTAGTAAATGTATATAAGGTCCAGAATAGTATAAGCTACTAACATTAAAGAGGGGTACAGAGTAGTGTACTGGAACGAAGTTCAGAATAGGAACATCCACCTAGCATCTGTGAGGTCTCGGTTATCAACCTTCGACACCACAAAATAAAATTTATGATCTTTTAAAATTAACTTCAATATCATCACACTATATATAGTCTTCATGGGACATTAATCATGACTGGGAAGGTGTCCTGTGGAAGCAGTACTAGGGGTTAAACCTAGGGCCACATACATGCTAAGCAAACTACTACACAAATAGACCAAAATATGAACAGTCTTTTTTAATCCCACTTTTGTGTCATTGTTTGTTTTTTTTTTTTGGTTTTTCGAGACAGGGTCTCTCTGTGTAGTCCTGGCTGTCCTGGAACTCACTCTGTAGACCAGGCTGGCCTCGAACTCAGAAATCCACCTGCCTCTGCCTCCCAAGTGCTGGGATTAAAGGCGTGCGCCACCACTGCCCGGCATTGTTTGTTTTTTAACTGAGGGGATTTTACTATATCCCTGGCTGGCCTGACCTCAAGCTGACCCTCTTGCCTCTGTCTCCAAGTGCTGGTCTGGTATTAAAGGCATGCACCCTACCACACCTGAAACCATCTTGTATTTTTTAGATAGGGTCTTCTAAACTTCCCACAGTAAAGTGGCCTTGGGGTTTCTAGGTCTCCTATGTCCTGAGAATACAAACCTGCACATATACCATCAATCTCCACTTAAATCTTCACATCAAATGCTCACAATTTGGTATGGGTATAATGGTGCACGCATTCAAGAAATAGAGGTGGTTCTCATAGAGATCCTTGTCTACACAGTCAGACTAATCAAAGCTAAAAATGAAAACAAGCAAAAAGATATTTGAAAATAAACACCAACCTCTCTTATTTCCTTGATCTTGCAGCCACCTTTTCCAATAAGAGAGCCACACTGACTAGCAGGAACCACCAGCCGTAAGGTAACCGGGGGTCTACTGGCAGCTGTGCTATTGGTCATAGAACTGCTTATGTCCTGTTAAAAAAGAAAACTGCTTAGAACACCAAAAGGATAAATAGCATGTGCATATATATATATATATATATATATGTATGTATGTATGTATGTATGTATACACACACACACACACACATACTTGAAAGTCTTAACTTCCATAAAATAATCACTGACTCTTGGACTTAGAGACATGGCATGTATCATAACTATACCAAACTGTGAAGATCACAATTTAGGCCCAATGTGGTAGCACTGTTTATAGTCCAGTACTCACAAAGGAAAAAAGATCTGGAGTTACAGGCTAATACAGACACAAGTCAGTAGACACAGAACTTTAACCACCTTTTCCAATAAGAGAGCCTCACTGACTAGCAGAAATCACCAGCCATAGGTAATCAGGAGTCTACAGGACTAAATAAAACAGGTCTGGGGATTTTGCTCACAAAACAGAAAAAGGAACTGCAGAAGCAGCTATAAACTCATTTTTCTTCACAGCAAAGGTACAGAGAAAAGCAACACTTTTAATACGCTGACCTTACGGTTGGTTTATAAACATGAACTAGTAGTAAAGCACTTATCTAGCATACATAAACATTCTAATCCTATTACAAAACTTTTTAAAAAGTAGTCAAGGGGCTGAGGAGATGGTTCAGTGGGTAGAGAGTTTGTTGTACGAGCAATAAGGACTGGAAATCAGGTCAGACCCTCCAGCACCCACATAAAAAACTAGGTATGGCTATGCATGCCCATCATCCCACCACTGGATGTGCAAACAGACCTGTCCTACGAACTGGAAGGCTGACAAGATTCCAGTTCAATCAGAGACCCTTTCTCAAAGCTGGAAAGCAAGACGAAATGGAAATATCTGATAGCATACAATGTAACCAGTTTCAAACTAAATATCCCCTTACAAAACCAATATAATTTTTTTTTAGATTTAAGGTCTGTATGTTTCTTGCAGTACTAGGCCTCCTATATGCTTACCAAATGTTCTCTACACCTTAATCTATATCAATTAACTCATTTCAACTTCCCCCATAGCAATAAACAAACATAAACTACTCTATAAACAATGAAATCAGGTATATCCAAGATGCTTTGAAATCAAGTTTTGGAGTTGGCAACAGATGAATTGGAGTCTATGCTTAGCCAGGGATAGTGGTGCACGCCCTTAATCCTGGCACCAGGAGGTGGAGGCAGGTAGATCAGAGTTCTACCGACAGTCAGAGCTACACAACTGAAAACAGCCCATGCATAATATGCATGATGCCTTTGGTTCTATTCCAGCAAAGCAAAACAAAAACCCTCTATTGATAGGTTTTCCAGTATACTTGTATCCCAAACCATAGTACTTTCTATTGTTAAAACCATAATATAATGAGTATGTGTTTAAGTTAGAGAACAATTTGTGCAAGTTTATTTTTTCCTTCCACCATGTGGGTCCCAGGAACTAAATTAATACCATCAGTTGTGGGACAAGTGCCTTTACATGATGAATCAACTAATCAGCACAAACATTTTTTTTTCAGTAATTAATTCATTTTTTAAAATGTTTTTTGATAGAGGGTTTCTCTGTGTAGCCCTGGCTATCCTGGAATTCACTCTGCAGACCATGATGGTCTCTAACTCACTATGTATATGCTGCTGGTTAGCTTTCACATGGGCTGGAAAAACAGAAAACCTCTAACCTAATCGGCATGTGCCCATGAGGTGCTGTCAATTGCATACTTACATACAAGCCTTATAGTCAAAAACTTTTTTCTTCTTTTGATATAGGGTCTCTACTACATAATCACAGTTGGCCTCAAACTCAGAATTGTCTGCATCAGGCCCCTAGTACTGGTGGGATTAAAGATGTGCACCACCACTTCAAGCTTATTACTTTAAGAATAATATAGCATATACTTCTAACTGTTCTTTTAAGCTGCAAATTCTAGAGAAACAGCATCCCTCAGGTTAAAATGTAGTATTTCTGACCTGAACAAGGATAAGATTTAAAGGAGCATTAAACAACAACCAAACAGTACGCTTTTGCCTATGGTATCAACTGCAAAATTAAGTAAACAGCATTACTTCAAGGAGAATAGTTGTCCAGCCTCTCAATATTGAGTATTGAAGGAAAAGAGAACTGCCTTCTAACAAAACCAGTAATGGTTATTTTGCTTCTAGTAACCTAAAGCTTTACCTCTTAACTTTTTTGTTCAAAAAAAAAAAAAGTTTTTTAAATGTAATTTTACTGTGTTTGTCCTAGTTCAGCAGGATCCTAATAAAAAGCACATTAAGTTCATTCAACAGTAATGAAAGCAATGGCACACCTTTGAAACAATTACTAAAAACATTTTAAATGGCAAAGTTAGAAAGGGTAATGCATCTCTCCATGTAATCTCAACACCTAGGAGCCTAACCCAAAAGTGTTGAAGGTAATCTTGGACTCCTAGTAGTGCCAGACTTACAAAACAGGACCCTAATCTCAAAAAATAAAAATATTAAATTGATACCAAAAGGGGTGTGTGTGTGTGTGTGTGTGTGTGTGTGTGTGTAGAGATAGCTTGGTAGTTAAGAGCAGTAACTGCTCTTCCAAATGAACCAGGTTCATTTCCCACCAGTTATATAACAGCTCACACCTAGAGTCTGCAACTCCAGTTCCACAGTTTCTGACACCCTCCATAAACATACACTCAGATAAAACACCAGTGAACATAGAACAAAATTATATTTTAAAAAAAAAAAAAGTCAGCTGAGAATACAGCCCAATTACTTAACGTGCTTTTGGACTTTATTTTTTTTTTTTATGCCTGGTATGGGGGAAGGGAGCAAAGGTACAACAAACCTCTTCCAGTTTGTCAATGATCATAGCAAAGGCTTTGAAGATGGCATTAGTCGGTCCAGCCAAAGTGATAATTCTCTCAGGACAATTCCCTTCTGAGATGTTGATACGTGCACCACTCTAGGATGGGAAAAAAAAACAAGTAATTTTAATAGATAAAAAGAACTAAAATTGTACAGTATAGTCTGTCCTAGATAATACAAGCAAAAAGCTGGCTACATAAAAGAGCATTTCAAATACTGCTCTACTTGTCTTCAATCTATTTTGTGTCCCTTATGTTTTTAGGACTTGACACAAAATTCCTTTCTATCATATTACTTGTTATTACAAATTAACTAGACAATGTTTTCTTCCCTTTTTGAGCTCTTCCCCTGTAATGTCTCACACGTAACTTCCAATCACAATGTTCCTTGCATCTTACCTCCTCGCGCATCTTCTTAACAGATTCTCCTTTCTGTAAGAGGAAAAGTCAAGCATGAGCTCCAATTGCTATTTCAGCCCAGAATGACTAAACAGGAATAAGTGTTGAAGTGAAACTGTCTTACCTTTCCAATGATACTGCCAACTTCCTACAATGGAGAAAACCCAGTGTTAAGAGGAAATTCAGAGGTCATCATAATGAAAAGAAAATTCTAAGTGTTCAACAAACCAAGTGCTAACTATGCTAACTACCAATCCAAAGAAATAGTTTAAAATTTATAAGGGGAGACACTTATTCACTTCCTCCCACAAAATTTCATACAAAAGCTATCAAAAAAAAAAAAAAAGGAGAATAATCAGTGATTAAATTCTACAATTTTGTACAATATGTAGAGGCTTGGGTTAGCGCAACGGTAGTGTTTGCCTAGATACCCTGAGATCAATCTCCAGTGCCACCGAAAATCCAAACTAAAATCTTCCTTCTGAAATTAAGCTACAGTATCATACACCTAAATGCCTTACCAAGCAGCATGTCTGCTTTCTGGCTCTTACCACTTGTTAAGTCTTTTCTTGCTCTCTGAGGCTTCCTAGTAAAAGCTGTCCATTTTCCCACCACACTCCATTAAAAAAAGAGTGCTAAAGCCAGATGTCCCACAGTGCTAATCTGATGAGCTCCAAGATGCTTGTCTGCTGTTTCCTGGCCCCGCCCGTAGCAGTTACTATGACCCAATTTTCCAAGCTGGTGCATACCTTTCCATGCATAAGTAGCCTGATGGTGAGAGTGACATTTAATCCACCTTCAATCACACCGGTGTCCATGTCTAGCAGTTACAGGGAGCTGGACTTTGAGTGGTCAAGTCTTTGGTCACTGGTGAGAGTGAAAGCCAAAAACTGAAATGTAAGCATGATTAAAATAAGAGGAGAAAAATAAAGAGTAATTCCTTTCCAGTTATTTTCCCTTTGCCATTTTCAGTTTTATCTAATGGACTCTAAGTATTAGCCTATCAGACTTGTAAACACTCTTAGCACAACTCTTTAACACTTACAGATCAGGTTTTGTTTCCAGTTTGCTCATTAATGATAGGGTTTCCACTGATGCTTAAGATGAGAAAGATTTGACCATTCCACTGGCAATGGTTCTAAGGGAACTCCTTAAGTGCAAGAAGTTGTCCTTCAGCGGAGTAAGTTTTGAAAAGACTCAGTAACGGCTGGACAAACTAACTACAGTGAGGACAAATTCAACTTGCTTTCTACTGGACAGCAGTTAGAAGTAAAGGTAGAGTATACATGTAAATGTACTTAGTATAGAAATTCCTAAAATTGAGATATACTTATCTCAAAGGTTGATGGATGACACCAGATGATTTTTAAATAATATAGTTCAGTTGTGTGAATAATGGTCCACTTCTGTATAATCTGAGCACTTTAGAGGTTTTGACAGGGTTGTTCAAGGCCACCTTGGACAACCTATTGAGAATCAAGTGTAGTTGCCAGAGCTACACAGTGGGACGATCATAAAACATCAAGAAAAATAATCTCACTGAAAAAAGTATTATTCAAGATACACTTCACAAGTGATTGGGTTCCATGTTCCTTTGAAATTTAATTCTGTACATCTCAGTTCTTTTCTCCCAATCTTCCTCAATAAATCAATTTGAGAAATTTCTCTTGTGTTTGTTAACTTTGACTATCATACAAGTCTTTTTTTAAGTCCCAAAGTTTCTTCCAAATACAACAAAAATATAGTACTAAAATTTTACTTCATATTTGCTTTGATTCATCAGTCATGATAGATTGTCAAGATGATTCCTTTGTACTCATTCTCTGAAACAAGTTTGGAATAACTACTTGTATAGACAAAGAATTTGGATTTTGATGTTCTTTAATTTTTTTTTTAAAACACCAAACACTGATCGTTTCAAGAGTCTCAAGCCCTGAAATTTCCAATAGCATGTCAAGTATTCATCCCTTCAAATCAGTATCAATGATTTCTCTCCTCCTACAACTAATTTTGTCCCTTCATAAAACTAGTTAGTTTCACTTTGCTGTAAACACACAATATGCCTACCGTTGGGTTTTTTAGTTTTGCTTTCTTTTTTTGTTTGTTTGTTTTGTTTTGTTTTTGAGACAAGGCCTCACTATGTTGCACAGGACTGAATGGAACTGTCTATTAACACAAGGCTGGCCTCCAAACTCAAAGACCCATCTGCCTCTGAATCCCAAGTTCATACCTTAAATAATTTTTAAAGCACTTTAAAGTGGCTGCCACATCACTCTATATAATGCAAACTATCTTCTGGTTACTTCAGGATGTTAAGTGATTATATAAATGCATCCCTAAAGCACATCAGTTCCCCATTTCCAGAAAACAGTTAACTGCTGTCTAAAAACTCACAAATCAACATCTCATTAATGGAAAAACAATGCTTGAGTCTGTAAGATTAACCGCCCCCCCCATATACTGTATAAACCTGAGGATAGCTTTAGTTACATTTCCCCACTCAGCTATATTAATCACTTTAGAAATACAGTAATACAAATTCAAAAGGCAAAGAAAACTGAAAACCTAACTACAAATCCATTTCCTAAGTAAAGCACGAAGATGCATTTTTTTTTTAACTCCAAGCCACGTTAAGTAATCTGAGAAACCTGTCAGTTCCTCTGAGTAGGTCAATCTAAGTGTACCCCATCCTGGGAATCCAGCTGTTAATCCTGCAGTCAATTACCCCTCTATAAATAGCTCGGTCTGGTTTATAGCGGCAGGCATTTTGTAATTTCAAAATTCGTTACCCGAGAGAACGTCAGAGTAACTCGGTAGCTGAGAGTCCGCCTACCCTTTAACTCTGCAGCTCCCCACTCCCCTCCCCCGCCCCGGTCATCCAAGCATTTTTCCACTTTAGAAAAAAAAAAAAAGCCCCCCCTTCCCTTGACTGGGATGGGGGTGAATAAACGGTTCGGTCGGGGGGGGGGCGCTGCTACCCAGGGGGAGGGGCCGGACAAGTAGCGCCTCCTCGTGTGTCTGCGCCAGCGCCTGACCCCCGCGGGGAGCCGCGCTCACCCGCCCCGCCAGCAAGCGGGCCATCGCCTCCCCCACCCCCCCCAACCCACCAAATCCACCGCCGCCCCCCCTGCCGCGCGCGCGCCCTCCCTAACTCCTGCGCAGCCGCCACCGGGAAAAAGGGGGGGGAGGGGGGCAGGCTTCGCGCGAGGCCTACTAGGCCGCGCTGGAGCCAGGGCCTCGCGTGAATGGCCCGGCAGGGAGATTGAAGTAGTAGACGCTCATGCGGGACTACGAGAGGCCGAGGCTCCAGAATAGGACCGGAGTCCTCCAAGAAGGATGTCACGAGTGGAAGTACAAGCTACTGCCGGGGGCAGAAAAGAAGATTTTAAGCTTACCTGGAGGCGCGAGTCGACTGAGGGGAAAAGGGGAGCGGGCGGGAAGGGGAAGGGCGGGAGGCCGGGGGCGGAACAATAGGGGCGGGCGGGAAGGCGAGGGGGGCCCCGCTAGCGGGCGGAGGAGGGGGGGGGGGGGGGGGGGGAGGGGGGGAAGGGCGCCGGGGGGGGGGGGGGCGGGCGGAGGGCGGGCGGGCGGGAGAGGGCGCAGGCTGCGGCTGCTCCGGCTGCTGCCTCTGCTGGTCTGGGAGGGGGACGGGGCGGAGCGGGCCGCTTTCAACCCCGCGCACCCTTCGACCCCGGAAGCGCTAACCGCCCCGGGGGCCGGCGAGTCGACTGCGTCGTCCACACTTTCCCCACGCAATGCGGACCGCCTTCCCAGAGCCTAGAGCGGCTCCTTGGACAGCGTCGGCACCAGCGAGACAGCCGGTAACCAACGGCGAGGTCTGTGATAGAGCGGCAGCGCAGAGACGCGGGGGCTACTAGTGGCCTCTAGCGGGGGAACTGGAAAGCTCAGTCCTAAAAGCGAAGAGGTGGCCAAGGCTTTGGATCAAGAAAAGATGGGAGGGAGGGAAAGGAAAATAACAGTTGTCTAAAATAAAAAACGAGTGGCCAGACTGAAAGTATCACACAAACTGCTTACTCTAAAAGTAATCCAGTTTAGTAAGTGGAGAAGAAATGAAAACATCACGATTTTGCAGCCCAGATACTGAATCAGGCAATAAAAAGTGTAATAACGAATTAAAAGTTAAAAGAATATTCTTAAACCAGACGGTGGTGGTGGTGGTTCGTGCCTTTAATTCTAACACTGGAGAGGCAGAGTCAGGCATATCTCTGAGTATGAGGCCACCCTGGTCTACAGAGTGAGTTCCAGGACAGAGAGGGCTATATAGGCTATATAGACAGGGCTTGTCTTGAAAAAAAAAAAAAAAAAGAGGAGAAGGAGAAAAGAAGTATCATCACACAGATTTTCTAACTGTACAATAAAGTAACTTTAAATGGAGAAATCTAACAAGTCACCACGTTAACGAAGTTAAGCAATCAAACTTCACCGTACTAGGACAACATTAATAATGTGAATATCTCACTATTATATAAGAAGTATTGTATAATCTAGAATTCCTGCCCAAAATGGTTAATATTTTTTATTAGGTCTGATTTGCCATTTACAGGGACAAAAGAACAAGTTAAGCATCAGTACAAATAGGTATTCTGTGGCCAAGCACAGTGAGTAATACAAGCCGAAGATCCTACCACTGGGGAAGTTAAGGAAGACAATGATGAATCTCAGGCCACCTTGGAATGCATAGCAATACTGCTTTATTGTTATTTGTTGCCCTTTTTTTTCTTTAAGACTTTTTTAAAACACAGAATTTTGTACACACCACAAGACAACTATCCTGATATCTTTAAAAAGGCAATAAACCTTTTTTGATCAAGCTTCAAGAATGGCATATATAGCTTGATTAGGCTAGCCCATTTTGTCCTGGGAATACTTTTATTCCTTCCCAACATGTTGACAGCCAAAGTACGTGGCTTGAACCTGAAAATGGACCCCCAGACAGAGTTATTAAATTAATAGGCTAGCAAGCCAAGGAAGGGTAAGATTCTGCACAGAACCTTACCAACCTAAGACATAAGTGCATTACTTTTGATAATGCATATTCCATGATGGGTAAGAAAGGCATTTTTGTCAGAACTACCTAAGACAGGCTCAGTCTTGTTAATGAAATAAAAAAGGGGGAGATGCAGAGAGACTTTGGGGCTGACATGGGCCAAAGACAAGGAAATGGGGTGCTTGGCAGGAATATGACATTGGCCAAGGACAAGGAAGTAGGATTCAGGCAGGAAGCTAACATTAGGCTAGAGCAAAGAAGTAATTTCAGGCAGGAATCTAAATTTTAGGCTAGAACAAGGAAGTAGGCTTCAGACTTGAAACTGATTTTGGGCTAGGACAGGGAAGTTGGCTCAGATATTTTGGTCATCCTGATAAGTCCTTAGAAACGGTAATCACGGGAGTGTTCAGGGAATTTTATTCATTGCCTTGCTTGTTCTTTGACTATGTTTATTGTCTTGCTTGTTCCTTGACTGCTTGCATCTATTGTATTACTAGCCCTCAACTTAGAACTGATCTTAATACTTGCATGTAATTAAAATGGTATAAAAGCAAAAAGGAAGAGGGGGGATGGGATAGGGGATTCTAAGGAGGGGAAATGGGGGAAGGGGATGACATCTGAAACGTAAATCAATAAAATATCCAAAAAAAAGTTTAAAAAAATTTTGTGCCGGGTGGTGGTGGCGCCCACCTTTAATGCCAGCACTTGGGAGGCAGAGGCAGGTGGATCTCTGAGTTCGAGAGTTCAAGGCTAGCCTGGTCTACAGAGTGAGTCCCAGGACAGCCAGGGCTACACAGAGAAACCCTGTCTCGAAAACAAACAAACAAAAAAACCATTTTGTATGTGTGTATACAAACTGAGTGTGTGTATACACCACAGCAGTCAGGAGGAAATCAAAGGAGGACTTTCAGGAGGAATCGGTTCTCTCCTTCAACCAAGTGGGTCCTAAAGATCAGATTCAGGACATCGGGTTTGATGGCAAATGTCTTTCCATCTCACTGGACTGGAAAGATGTTGTAAGAGTTCAAAGCACTGACTGCTCTTCCAGAGGTTCAGGGTTCAATCGCCAGTATTCATAGGGTCTCACAGTGAATGTAACTCCAGTTCCATTAGATACAACACCCTCTTCTGCATTCCACCGACACTTGCACCCAAATGGTGCACATACATACATGGCAGGCAAAACACACACACACACACACTAAAACAAAATAAATAGATACATCTGTAAGGAGTTGAGGCACATGTAGGTAAGAGGTAGGCAGATCTTTTGAAGTCAGCCTGGTCTACATAGCAAGTTTCAGGACATTGAGAGCTACATAGTGAGATTCACTCTCAAAAAAACAATCAAAAAGATAACTTGTTCTTACAAAGGAACTAAGCTCAGTTCCCTGTAGATGGTTCACAACTACCTAAAACTTCAATTCCAAAGATCTGATGCGCTCTTCTGGCCTGCTAGGGCATCCTTGGGTGCACATAACTACCCTACAGACACAGATACACATAAATTTAATTTTTTGTTGTCGTTTCTCGAGACAGGGTTTCTCTGAGTAGCCCTGACTGTCCTGGAACTCACTCTGTAGACCAGGCTGAGCTCGAACTCAAAAATCCAAATGTCTCTGCCTCCCAAGTGCTGAGATCAAAGGTGTGCACCACCATCACCCAGAAAAGAGAAATTAATTTTTCTCCCTTTTATGTATACAAGGTGTTTTTACCTACCATGTGTGTACGGTACCTGTTGTCATTTTAGTATCAGTCAAGTGGAGTCATGTGACAATAGCTGGAAAATAAGACTTAAGGACTCCTAATATTTTTCTTTCCTCCACCCAAATGAGGAGCTAGGTATTAGGAACACAAAATAGAAACCTCACTTGGTGCCATTTGGTGCCAGGTGTCATTGTACACACTTTTAATCCCAGCACTAAGGAGGCAGAGGCAGGTGGATCTCTTGAGTTCAAGACCAGCTTTGTCTTTGTCTTGGACCTCTGTAAGAGAACTTGTCTCAAAAAAAAAAAAAAAAAACAAACAAAAAAAACAAAAACAAAAAAACAATTGGTCAAGGAGAAAGGGCAGAAAGGGAAGTGAGGAAAGGTTAAAAGGTTAAAACCCCAGAAAAAAGCCAATTAAGCAAGTTTACTGTCAGACCTAAGCTGAAAGTTTAACCTCAAGATTTTGCAGGTGGAAGGGTTAGAGAGATGGTGCAGAAGTTAAGAGCATTGGCTGCTCTTCCAGAGGTACTGAGTTCAATTCCTAGTACCGACATAGTTGCTCATAACCATCTGTAATGAGATCTAGTGCCCTCTTCTGGCATGCAGACATACATGCAGGAAGAACACTGTATAAATAATAAGTAAATAAATGAATGTTTAAAAAAAAAAAAAGATTTTGCAGGTGGACCAGTAAAACCAGTGGGGTTCCCAACAGCTAGAGTGCTATCCACCATCCATGAGGTTACACATATGGCATAGGGCAAAATAAAAATCAAAGAGTTTTATTGGGGCTGACCAACAGCTATAGCCAGCGTTAAGAGAGATGAAAAGCCTGTGGGTGGGGGAAGAATCTTGGGCATTCAAGGTCCTGGGTACAATCCCAAACACAAAGCAGGGAGAGAGGGTTGGCAATATGGCTCAGCTGTCAAGCCTGACAACAACTGCCACTCATTATCCTGACTGCCACACTGTATCACAGCATATGCGTGAACGCTTACAAATGAAATACAATGTAACACAATGTAAGGAGAGGAATGGGCTGAAGAAATGGTTCAGCGGTTAGAAGCATCGGCTGGTCTTCCAGAAGACCTGGTTTCCATGCCCAGCATCCACAGACTGGCTCACAGTCACCTGTTTAGCTACAGTCCTAGAGGATCAGACGCCCTCTACTGGACTCTATGGGCACCACATGCATACAGTGCACAGAAATACATGCAGGCAAAGCATTTTATGTAGGAGTGTTCTATCAATAAGTAAGTTTTTTTTTTTTAAGAGCACTTATTGTTATTGAAGAGGACCCAGTTTCTGTTCCCAGTGCCCACATCAGGCAGCTGACAAATTGACTGTAACTCAATCCTAATGCATCAAAGTGTATATGATCTTTGTGGTCTTACGTGCTTGCATACAAGTACTGCACATAAACTCATGTAGACATACAAATTATATTTTTTTTTCCTGAGAAATAGGTTGTCTCTACTCCTAATCCTGGGCCTCACTGTGTAGATTCAGGCTGGTCTCAAAATCCCGAACATTGGGATTAAAGATGTGCACCACCACTGTTCAGCACAAAATATATCTTAGAGGAAGATAAGGGGAGAGAGAGGAGAATCTTTTTTTCTTTCTTTCTTTCTTTTTCTTTTTTTTTTTTTTTTTGGTTTTTCAAGACAGGGTTTCTCTGTGTAGTCCTGGCTGTCCTGGAACTCACTCTGCAGACCAGGCTGGCCTCGAACTCAGAAATCCACCTGCCTCTGCCTCCCAAGTGCTGGGATTAGAGAGAAGGAGAACCTAATAGCAATATCTGACTATGGGTCAAGAAATTCTCCAAAGCAGAAATGGGTAAACTTGCCTAGGATCACAAATCAACATATTTATCTACAGAAAGTATTCAAAAAAGCCAGCAAGCTAAGGATTCATTTCATTATTCATAGTTGCTAAAGCTAAACTAACTTGCATTTTTTTTAAAGATTTGATTTTCTTTCATGTATATGAGAGTTTACTTGTGTCTGTAAGTGCACCACATGCCATGTGTCTACAAGACCAGCAGAGATTTGCTATTGGTTTTTTGGCTTTTCTGGCTTTTTGTTTGTTTGTTCATTTGAGATGGGATAGGGTAGCCCTGTCTAGTTTAGAACCCATTCTGAGATCCACCTACCTCTGCCTTCAGAGTGCTGGGATTAGAGCTGGAGAGAGGGCTCAGGGGTTAAGAGCAATGTCTGCCTTTCCAGAGGTCCCGAGTTCAATCCTCAGCAACCACATGGTGGCCCACAACCATCTACAATGTAATCAGATGCCCTCTTCCTGAATGCAGATGTACATGGAAATAGAGCACTCCTACATAATATAAAGAAATAAATCTTAAGTTAAAAAAAAAGTGCTGGAATTAAAGGTGTGTGTGTGTGTTGCTATTATTTTCTTATTACACAGTAAGTGTAGCAAGATTTACATTAAATGTGGACAAGGATAAGAAACCGATGAGCTCTAAAGACACAAGTTTAAAGGCTAGAGAGATTGGAAGTTCAATACCTCACAGCTCGAGCTCCAGAGACTCTCATGTCTATGGTCTCCAAGGGCACTTGATTTCATATGCATACACACACACACACACACTTCAAGATATGAAAATGAAAAAAGCTAGTGGGTGGTGATATACACCCTTAATACCAACATTTGGGAGGCAGAGGCAAGTAGATCTCTTCAGTTTGAAGCCAGCCTCATCTACAGAGAGAGTCCCAGGACAGCCAGGGCTACATAAAGAAGCCCTTGTCTCAAAAAAGCCAAAGAAGAGGAAGAAGAGGAGGAGGGAAAGAAGGAGAGAAAGAAAGAAAGAAAGAAAGAAAGAAAGAAAGAAAGAAAGAAAGAAAGGAAGAAAGGAAGAAAGGAAGAAAGAAAGAGAAAGGAGGAAAGAGGAAGGAAGGAAGGAAGTGTAAATTAAATAAATCTTAGAAAAAAAATATCTGGGGCTGGAGAGATGGCTCAGCAGTTAAGAGCGCTAACTGCTCTTCCAGAGGTCCTGAGTTCAATTGCCAGCAACCACTGGTGGCTCACAACCATCTGTAACCATAGGATCAGATGCCCTCTTCTGGTGTGTCTGAAGACCATGACAGTATACTCACATATATAAAGTAAATAAAAATATAATCTTTTTTAAAAATCTGAGAACTATTACCTTTGGAAGTATAGAGTGGTGCACAGAGGAAGGGTGGCAACCCCAAAGGTTTCAAGAGCCAGGCCAGTAATGGAATTGGGAGGAGCTACAAGGCCCAACCACTACACAAAGCCAGAACTTACATCTTTAGAGAGATGTCAATGCATGCCAAAGATTCAGCTGGAAATGTAAATCATTAGGGAATGACTGGCATTTTAATAAGACAGTGGTCCCCCCACAGGCCTCAGATATAGCTAGTGGCTCAGTGGTCAACCTCTGTTCACTGAAGTAGTCGTTCACACACTAAGACCGGACATAGGCTAAGCAAAGTGGGAGAGAGAACCAAAAGTCTGCTAGACTGGCTAACACAACAAGTTCCAGGCCATCTAAGGACACTCTCTCTGAAAAACAAAACAAAACTGAAATCAGGCAGAGATAGCTCACACCTTTAATCCCAGTACTGGGGAAGCAGAACAGGTGGAGCTCTGTAAATTAGGGGTCAGCCTGATACACATAGTGAGCTATAGGACAGCCAGAGCTATGTAGTAAAGACCTGTCTCAAAAAACAAGCAAACAAAAAAACAGGACTGGGAATGTATCTCAGCATGTGTTTGCCTAACATGCACAGAGAACTAGCTTTATTTCCTGAACCAATAATATTCGGATCCTCGCTAGCTAGCCCACTTAACCAAAATGGTGGACTTCAGGTTTAGTTAGAGATTCTGTTTCAAGGGAGTAAGGTAAAGAGCAATAGAGGAAGACACCCGAAGTCTTACTCTGGCCTCCAAATTTGCACACACACACATACACACACACACAGAGAGACACACTCACACAATAAGATGGCAGTAGACACACTTGTAATCCCAAGCTAGTCCACATAGGCAACTCAAGATAGCCAAGGATACATTAATATATATATTAATATATATATATATATTGGCTAAACTGATTATAGTAGTGTCCTCTTGCATTTAGTTCCTGCAACCAAAAAGCTGGAGACAGAGGAGAGCAGGAGTTAAAGGTCAGCCTAGACCTTGTCCCCCCAAAAAAAACAACTCTGCATCTCGGCAAGGTGGTCCATACCTGTCACCCCAGCTCTCTGGACACAGGCGGACAGATTGTTTGAGGCCACCATGGTCGACATAGCAAGTTCAAAGTCATCAAAAGCTACACAGGCCATGAGAAAAGTAAAAACAGCCTCACTGTTTGCTACTCTCCAGGAGCACCATATTCTTTCTCTCAGGCTGCCTATGTGCGATGGCCACTCTTGGTTGTCAATTTTATTACATCTGGATTTAATTCAAACCCAGACAAATGGGTGCACCTGTGAGAAATTTTTTTTTTCTCAATCAAACCATTTGGAACGGGAAGACACACCGGGCAGTGGTGGCGCACGCCTTTGATCCCAGCACTTGGGAGGCAGAGGCAGGTGGATTTCTGAGTTCGAGGCCAGCCTGGTCTACAGAGTGAGTTCCAGGACAGCCGGAGCTACACAGAGAAACCCTGTCTCGAAAAACCAAAAAAAAAAAAAAAGAAATGGGAAGACACTTTTGATCCAGATCTTTTGAGGCAGGAAGATCCATCTTTAATCTGGGCCAAACCTTCTGGTGGCAGCAGATGTGGAAGAAAGCTTTTGCTCCTTGCCTGCTCACTCTCTCTGGCAAATCTATTCCTTCCCTAGTATTAGAGCCTACTTCCTCAGGATTCTGGTGTATACTGAAGACCATCCAGCCTCACGGACTGAACAAATACTGGATTCTTGTACCTTCTGTTGGTAGATATCCACTGTTGGACTATGGTCTAGCTGGGCCACAGCCTATAAGCCATTCTAATAAATCCCATATGCCAGGCAGTGGTGGTGCACGCCTTTAATCCCAGCACTTGGGAGGCAGAGACAGGCAGATTTCTGAGTTCGAGGCCAGCCTGATCTACAGAGTGAGTTCCAGGACAGTCAGGGCTATACAGAGAAACCCTCAAAAAACAAAACAAAAACAAAACAAAAATCCCATATGTATGTATGTACATATATCTTTATGTATACAGATTTTTATATATGCAAATATATGTATTTATTTATATTATTATTTAATGCATATTAGTACACTGTAGCTGTCTTCAGACATAACACAAGAGGGCATTAAATCCTATTACAGATGGTTTTGAGCAACTGTGTGGTTGCTGGGAATTGAACTCAGGACTTCTGGAAGAGCAGTCAATGTGCTTAACCACTGAGCCATCTCTCCAGCCCCATAGGTCACACTTAAAATGTTTACCTACCTACAATGCACAAGGCCCTCTAGGTTCAGGCCCCAGCACTATATAAAATAAGGTATACTAGTACCCATCAGCAATTCCAGCCCTGAAGGAACACAGAAAGATCAGGAAATTGTTCATCTTGGCTATGTAGTGAGCTTGAGGTCTGGACTACATAGGGCCATCACACTAGGTTTTTTGTTGTTGTTGTTGTTGTTTTGTTTCTTTTGTGTTGTTGAAAATTAAATCCAGGACATTATACAGGCAAGCAAGCATCTGCCACTGAGCCTCCTAAGTTGTGGGCACTGTGGCTTGGATTTATCATGGCAGCACCTGGGAAGCTGAGGGAAGAAGAGTTCAAGCTCATCTTGGGCTACATAGAAAGACTCTTTAAAAGGGGGGTGGTGATGGAGGGATGTTTCTGTGGTTAAGAGCACAGGCTGCTCTTCCAAAGGGCCTAGGTTCAATTTCCAGACTCATAATGAGCTGTAACTCCAGTACCAGGGGAATCCTCTGCCCTCTTCTGACTTTTACAGGAACTGAATGACATAAAGCACATACATACTAGACCAGATACCTGTACAGACATATATGTGTGTGTGTATGTATGTATGTATCTATCTATCTTATTCATTAGATCAAGGGCAGGACCCTAGATTGTCCCCTTAAAGTTGAGGATTAAAAACCTCTGAAGTTACACAGAGAAACCCCGTCTGGAGAAAACCAAACCAAAAAAAATAAGAAAGAAAGAAAGAATACCTCTGAAGCAGGCTGGGCATAGTGGGCCACTCCTTTAATCCCAGCCTTGGGAAGCAGAGACAGGTAGATAGATATCTGTGAGTTGGAAGCTAGCCTCATCTACCTATTGAGTTCAGTCTAGCCAAGGCTATATACTCAGACCCTGTCTCAAAGAAAACCTCTGTAACAGATGAAAACTTGTGCAAATGGTCCATATCTGGGAGAACAGCATGGATTCAATCTGTAAAACTTGAGTCCATTCTGAAGGCTCCTCCCCTCTTAGAACAGTGTGGTGTCCTCCTCACTGACTAAACACGGCACTTCCGGCTGGGGATGTACCTCCATTAGTAAAGTCCCTGACTAGCAGGCACAGGTCTGAGCTACAGTGTGTGGTGGCTGAAGCTTATGATCCTAGCACTGCAAAGTTGGAGACACAATGATCTATATACCAAAGTTACCTTTTTTTTTCTTTTAATACAGTGAAGACTGGATGATGTAAGACTCTCAGAGGAATTTAAAAAAAAAAAAAGCAACGCACTTTAAAGAGTATGACCAAAAGTAACAAAACTAGCCCATGGTGTTGAGCCTAGAAAAAGAATCAGGTGAACAGAATCTGCTGGGAGAGTAGCTTTTATTTGGACTTAAAGGCATCTGAGATAACATACTGAACTAAGGAATAAGTCAGGTTCCAAAAAAGCTCATCAAGCAAAGGGACTGCATCTCCCAGCAACTCGACAGTTACTGCGATCAGTAAAGCCTGCGGGAAATAACAGTTGCCACTAAATCACTCACGTGCGCCGCCATCACAAAAGGTACAGGCTTTTCATCACAGACTGTCACAAACCCAAGTCACAAGTATTACAAAAGAAAGTGGAAAAAAAAATCACATGGTGCAGATCTTAAAATGGTACTTCTCATTTAGCTCAGAGGTCTCACCATCTCCAAAAGACAGTTCCTCTTTTGAAGACAGAAGACAGCTTTTGCTAGCCCTTGGCAATCGTCTTCCCATTCTCCCTAGACATCTAGGACCGAACAGCGGGGTAAGGCACAGGTAGGAGTGGGGCAGGGAGCAGAGGGATAATTCCCCTCAGTATAACATGGCAGCTGAAGCATGGTGGGAGAGTGGAGCTGGTGAGGCTTGAGGGGGAGGAGGCTCCAGGCCCTGCGATCAGTCAGAGTCACTGCTGGAAGAGGAGGAAGAGGAGGAGGAGGAGGAGTGCTGCAAGGGGAAAGGACACATCATCAGATCCAGATGACCTCTGGCCACTCCAAGGGTCATTCTTTGATGCCCCACCCATCCACCCAAGTATCCAGTAGGCAGGAGTCTTGTTCTATCCTGTCCCATAACCAACAAAATCAAGGGTCTCCTTCAGCATCGAGCATACAAAAATGGATTAAATTGTCCTCAATCACTGCACAGAACTGAACACAGTGCCTTCCGAACACGAGCGTCCACTTTCCACACCTAGCCAGGGCCAGGAATGTGGAACAAGCAAACATATCGCGGCTGTGGGAAGCAGCTGCTGCCTTCTAAGTCTCTACCCATTAGCTTTAAGGAACGACAAACTAGGATCGCTCTGCAGCTCAGAAAGGGTAGGAACGGCTGCCATGTGGGTGATGCTGTACTTCTAACTTCCACTAGGGGGAAAAGTGGGGAAGACGGCAGGGACAAACGTTTGGCTGGAGAAATCCCATCCAAGGATCCACACAGACATACCTCCGTCAACTACCATAAAAAAAGTTTTTAGGCTCTCAGAATCCTCTCCCTTATTCAGTGTCTTCTTTCCTTCCCTACTCCCCACATTTCTACCTAAGACCCAGAATCAGGAACTAGCGCCCAAATTCACAAAGCAAACACTGGGCATAAAATCTACCTGAAGCCTCAAGATTCAGACAGATGCTCTTCCCAAGTCCTCAGGGAAACTCCCACCCTCACTAATAATAATTAACGTTCCTGTGGAAGGAAAGTACTTGTCTTGTGGAGGAAAATCCCCTTTCACCCCATGCTTTGCTGGAGGCTGAGTCACAGAAGGCTCGTCCAGGGAATTAACTCAGCCCAACTCAGCGCCTAGGAACTAGGGCCATATCACCACTCTGTAAACTATCATGCGTCATTGTGCTTTGTCAAGACTGACTCTTTTGACATTTACACAACCTCAGTGGGTGTGTCCAACTTACCAAAGGGTACGCCTAGGGTGGGGCGAGGGGCGAGTTACTGGGAAAGAGGTTAAGACTCGGTTGAGGGCTTTTGGCTCTGATATCTACCAACACTTCACTTTTCATTTGCAGGTGGGAGTGGTCTGATGCCTCAAATATTGCTAAACTTCTTTCAGGAGGATCTCTTTACATAAAGGAAAAACTACCTGCATCTCCCAAAGCGACACGGTTGCCGTCTCCCGCGCCCACAAACCTTGAATGCCCTTCTGCAACTCTTGATCATCCCCTGGTCCCTCTGAAGGGAGCTCCTTCCCCAGCCAGGCTCCAGAGGACACTGACCTTTCCATGCTTGTGATGTTTGTGCGACTTCTTATGAGATTTCTTCATTTTCTTCTTCGTCTTCTTGTCTATCACCATTCCTGGGCCTACCATGCCAGGAGCCGGAGGATTCATGGGGCACATGCCAGGACCGGGTGGTGGGTATGGGGGCGGGTAGGGACCTGAGGGTTGGTATCCTGGACACCCTGGTCGTGGTACAGGGTAAGGGGGACGACATGGAGGGAAAGCTGGGTTTCCATGGGGAATTCCAGGAGGACAGGGGCCAGGGGGAAAGGCAGGATTGAGAGGTGGTGGACAGGCAGGATTGGAACCTCCTGGGCACACAACTTGGGGCGGAAATGGATTTGGCCCTGGAGGAAGAATACGAGAATAAAGATTAGAACTGTCCAGAACCTCTATCAACAAGTAACATAAATCACTACCGTTCTTAAACCTTATGGAAAGCCAGAACTTGGTAGCTAGCAGTGGTCTGGTGACTTTGCTTTTGCTTGGGGTTGCGGGATAGACACAGACATTTCCTGTTTCATTGGAAAATGGGCTGGGGTGGGGTCAGAGGAGAGCCCCCAGGTACTTACCAGCGTTAGGATTCCACATGTCCAGACGTTAGCTCAAGCCTGTGAAGTAAAACAGGCAAAAATCTGAAGGTCCCGGGAAGGAAAGAGGGTTTTCTAGAGACAGAGCCCCACCCTACAGCCTCCTCCTTACGAAAGCTCTCACTGATAAAACTGCTACAACCCCCATTTAAAAACGGGCAACACTCTGGAAGCAGAGGCAGGTGGATCTCTGAGTTCGAGGCCATCCTGCTCTAAAGAGAGTTACAGGACAGTCTGTGTCGTTGAAAGCCAAACCAAAACAAAACAAAAAAAGTTTCCTTTCTCTTTCCAATACTCTAGCCCAGGGTCTAAACCACAAAAACTCTCTTCCCAGGGCCCCTCCGTCCCTCATATATCTCACCTGCATGGAGGCGGCTCATTTCCCTCTCCCTAGAAAGGGACCCGAGGCCTTTAAGCATCCGTAGTGTGAGATGGGACCTAAACTCCCTGCTCCCCCCGGTGCACCTCTGAAGTGGAGCTTAAAAAAAGGAGCCTATCCTGAAGTATCGAGAGAGAGAGAGAGAGAGAGAGAGAGAGAGAGAGAGAGAGAGAGAG